ATTTCTGAAGTTCGTTAAAATTATATATATTGAAGAAAACAAAAATTATGGTTTTTTTCTTTCAATAACTCGTTTTTAATAACAAAAATTGTGTACATAAGTATTATTTGTATGTACACTATTTAAATTGAAATTTTTTCAACATTAAGGCTTGGATTCATTTATATGAATATTCCAATATGTAATACAAGATATACAGATAAAATATCCGCCCTCTAATATAATGAAATAAAATTAAAATTTATGGATTTGACACAAAATATATACTAAAAAATACTATATAATACTAAGTTTAATATATTTAAATAATTTTTTACAATTTTCAAATCCTTAATGGTATTTTTAAGTTTAATTCAAGTTTATAAATATTTTTTTACATATTTTCAAAAGGGCTAATATATCAAATTTTTAAATAATACACAACTTTTTAAACTTTTTTCAGTTAATATAATATTAAAAAATTATATTGTATTGTTCCCAAGATTTCGACTATAGTCTATAGTCATGTTCAGGTTATGAAATATATATAAATATATATTTATTTAAAAGAATTTAAAAATTTATTTATTATTCAAACAATTGACTAATTAGCACGTTTAAAAATATGTGAATAAAATTTGATCATATATATTAAAATTATTCAAAATATTTTATTTAAAAAAAAAAATAATTTTATTTGTTTTAATGGTGCGATTTAGGTTTTTGTTTTATATTGCATTACTTTAAATAAAAAAAATATATAAAAATATTTATTTTATTTGTTAATTTTAAACAAAAATTATACAGTTTAATTATTTATAACAAATATTTTGGTTTAAAATAACTTTATGACTTTATTTTTAATTGGTCAATAAAAGGCTGAAAAATAAAAGCTTAAAAGATTAATAAATTAAAAGCTTATAGATTAGTTTTTATTTTTAATTCATTTCGACTTTTTTCCACCAAATTAAAATGATTAAAAAGTGAATTCACAACTACTCTAAGTTAAATGTTTTAAGGTATATACTCGTATATATACATTTTTTAAATTAAAGTAATATACTTTTAAGTTCGATTTTAAGTTTAGATATACATATATTATGTTATTTTTAAATACAGGAATATGTATGTTTTTTTTTTGAATTTAGGCCGTTTTATGTTTTTTATATTATTTTATATAGTAGTAGTACTATTACCTTTATTTTTACTTCATTTTAAATTTGTTTATTTATAACAATTATATTATATATATAAAGCTTACAGCTATGTCATTTTAGCCGTCTGCCTTTATATATATATATATATATATATACTTTATTTATTAATAATTCGGTCTAAAATAAATGATTATATATATATATATATTTTTTT